TAAACATGCAAAAAATATTACGTTGAAAAAGCTTAAGCATGCAAACATAGGGAATTCTTAAACATGTCAACATCGGGACTTCTTTATTAGTTATTACATGAAACGCCAATTAAATTATAGATAGATTATAACCCATGCTTCCAACCATCTAGCATAATTAAACAAATATGCGTTTGCAAAAAAAATCCGAGCCGACAAAAATTACGACAGAAGGAATTATTTTTAAAAAATGGTTACCCAATAATTGAATACTTCTTAACAAAATCTCGGTAGTTAAAGTTGAATTTTCAACAAAATGAGCAAAACAGCATATGATACCCACACGGTTTTTTCAGTTTCTTTCAAGATTTGTACGATAAGTTGTTAAGGGAGAAAATTCTTCTTCCCGATTACAAGACACTTGCTTTCGTACGTGTGAAAATTCTAAAAGAATATTTCCAGTACTTTTGTTGTGACTTTTTGTTTCCCTGGCCTTTAGATAAATTGTTGCTTCACATAGATTGGTGCTTCAATTAGATTGTTCAGCGTGAAAATAGCTTCCTAAAATGTATACAAACAACAACGACATTTAATGGAACCGTTATATTAAACTGAGACCGGACCATTCATCAGGGTTTTAAATCTCATTAACTGAAAAACATAAGTAAATTTTCATCAGATATGTGATTTTTCCACACAAAAAAGGACCATTTAAAGGTCGACAGCTTGCAGCGGCTTTTTTCAAAGTTCTAAAAACAATCAGATTTTTTTGAGAAAAACACTTTCGCGTGCTAAAATTTTAGAAAATAAAAATCACATTTGTCATATCTCGGAAACTGATACTGAAAAGTCCAAATAGAAGCCTAAATTCCTACCCCTGACAGCACGACAATATAGGGTGCAACGCCTATCTCGGCTGTTCAAAAATTATGACACAGGCGAAGCAGAGTTCGCAACTTTTGCGATGCAAAAAAGATTGCGCTGCAAAATAGTCAATGAAAAAAAAAGACGGAAATCAACAAAATTTCCGAAAAACTATGTTGGAAAAAAATTACCGAAAAAAATTAAAAAAAAGCACCCCACTACAAGGTTGAGAGTTCAAAATTCGGCTAGTTTTTTGTTGTCTAATTTTATTGAAGATATCGAAAAATCATTAAAAAAACGCCCTATCTCGAAAAAAAAGTATTTCAGCAGTCATACTTGGACGCCAGATTTGCAACCCCTGATGCACCCTGAAAGCACCCAATATAGGGTTCAGAGTTTCAAATTTTTTTTAGCAAATTGTGAAAGAAAAAATTCGATAGTTTTACATTGCTAATATAGGAAAAAATAGGATTGGATTTAACTCTTCAACTCTTGCAATAATTGGCTTTTTAACAGAACAACATAGGTAATTCCTAAACATGTGTCAAATTAAACTTCTTAAGCAATTTAATATACGAAATAGCTTAAATGTGCAAAAAATCTTTCCTTAAACATGCAAAAAATATTACGTTGAAAAAGCTTAAGCATGCAAACATAGGGAATTCTTAAACATGTCAACATCGGGACTTCTTTATTAGTTATTACATGAAACGCCAATTAAATTATAGATAGATTATAACCCATGCTTCCAACCATCTAGCATAATTAAACAAATATGCGTTTGCAAAAAAAATCCGAGCCGACAAAAATTACGACAGAAGGAATTATTTTAAAAAAATAGTTACCCAATAATTGAATACTTCTTAACAAAATCTCGGTAGTTAAAGTTGAATTTTCAACAAAATGAGCAAAACAGCATATGATACCCACACGGTTTTTTCAGTTTCTTTCAAGATTTGTACGATAAGTTGTTAAGAGGGAAAATTCTTCTTCCCGATTACAAGACACTTGCTTTCGTAAGTGTGAAAATTCTAAAAGAATATTTCCAGTACTTTTGTTGTGACTTTTTGTTTCCCTGGCCTTTAGATAAATTGTTGCTTCACATAGATTGGTGCTTCAATTAGATTGTTCAGCGTGAAAATAGCTTCCTAAAATGTATACAAACAACAACGACATTTAATGGAACCGTTATATTAAACTGAGACCGGACCATTCATCAGGGTTTTAAATCTCATTAACTGAAAAACATAAGTAAATTTTCATCAGATATGTGATTTTTCCACACAAAAAAGGACCATTTAAAGGTCGACAGCTTGCAGCGGCTTTTTTCAAAGTTCTAAAAACGATCAGATTTTTTTGAGAAAAACACTTTCGCGTGCTCAAATTTTAGAAAAAAATAAAAATCACATTTGTCATATCTCGGAAACTGATACTGAAAAGTCCAAATAGAAGCCTAAATTCCTACCCCTGACAGCACGACAATATAGGGTTAAAGTTTCAAACTTTGTTAAAGACTTGAAACTTTTTGTGACAAAAAACAACACCTATCTCGGCTGTTCAAAAATTATGACACAGAGTCGAAGCAGAGTTCGCAACTTTTGCGATGCAAAAAAAATTGCGCTGCAAAAAAGTCAATGAAAGAAAAAGACGGAAATCAACAAAACTTCCGAAAAACTATGCTGGAAAAAAAATTACTGAAAAAATAACTTGCCAACTCAGAGCAACAAAAACTTCATATTTGTATGGGATGAAGTTCATATACAGCCCATAAAATAGGAAACCATTAACCGAGCGGCAAAAAAGGCGACAAACTTTGGGCCGAAACCTGTTGAGCAAAAAAATACAAATCTGTTGTCATAAAAATCTTCACAAAATTTATAAGTTTTTACGAAACATCCAAACTGAAACAAATAATCAGAAACGGATATCTTTAAGCAAAATAAAATGACTAAGTCGAAATAACAAACTGAAACTGTTTGAATAATTATGAAAAAAACTAAAATTCAAACCAGGTAAATTTACAAAATTGTGTATTTTCAGTTATAGTACAATCTGTTTAAATTGCAAAAAAAACATGCTTTAGACGACAAGTTCACCAATAAAATCTACCAGATAAAAAAAGAGCGTTTAAAAAAACTGAAAATGAACCGATACAAAAACCACAAATCCAAATGAGAATTTTTTTTGAAAAATTAATTTCAGCCTGAAATGAATTGTATCTAATTACTACTTAAATGATAGAAGTGAAAAGGAAGATCTTACCTGAGAAGTGAAGATCCTCTAGAAGTGATCCTCTGGACAGAGTTGTTTACAGGAAAAAAAATATAGTACCCGGTGTCAATACCCTCGCCTATTTCAAGCGTAATCAGACCTATTTGGTGGATGGCAGATATGCAACCGATATGTGTACCCTTCAACATACCACCATAGGATAACGAACTGTTTTGTCAGTGTTTTTTAATCTAAAATTTTCGAAAAAAATCAACAAAAAATCATGAAAAAAGTCATATCTCGGACACCGCAAAAATTTGAGCAGTAAATTTGGTGACAAAATCTGAAAACACAGTATCCCGACAAAACTGGTCAACAGTGTTGTGAACTTCAACTTTTGTGAGTGTTTTTAAATTTGAGTTTTTAGACAATAATCGAGAAAATCATAAATGCCATTTATCTCGGTAACCAGAAAAACTCTGACAGTAATTTTTCGAAGCTAGATTTGTTACCATTGAGTGTGTCGCTCAACACCAAAGCATAAGGTTGAGAATTTCAAGCTGTTTTTTCTAATGAAACTTTTTGAAAAAAATTGACCAAATCATCAAAAATCAAGCATTAGAGCAAAAACAATTGAAGGCCAGATCTGCAATTCGTGACTCTACACCGACAACATACAACCATGGTGATGCAGTTTTATATTTTAGTTTTAAAGCAAAGTTTCTGAAAAACTCTTTAAAAAATTTAATAAGTCATATCTTGAAAACCAGGCGAGTTTGAGCAGTAATAATTGGAGGCCAGATTTGTAACTACTGATAGTATTCTGATAGTAACTCACTATAGAATAAAAATTTTCCCATTTTTTATTGAACTTGAATATAAATTTATTGAAAAAAAAATTGAGAAAATAATAAAATATGTCATATCTCGAAAACCAAAAAAAAATTGAGCAGCCATGTTTGAAGGGCAAAGTTGCAACTCCATAGTGTACCCTGAGAACACGCTACCACAGGTTTGTGAATTTCAAGCTCAGTAAAAATCTAAACTTTTTGAAAAGTTATAAATAAAAAAAAACTCCATATCTCGGAAACCAAAAAAAAATTGAGCAGTTAAGTTTGGAGGCCAGATTTGCCGCTCCTGAGAGTACCCTTATAGCATCTCACCATAGGGTTGTGAATTTCAAGTTTTTTAAATTTTAACTCAAGTTCTTTAAACAAGTGTTAAATCGAACTTTTTTTATATCTAAAAAAAATAAAAATCATAAAAAACGCCATATCTCGGAAACCAAATGAATTTGAGCAGTTGAGAAAAAATTTGAGCGGTTGAAAAAATCAATTAAATGAAACAGAGAAGATTGAAACGAATAGATTTTAAACTTTGCTTTGCGAAAAAGGAAAAAAACTGCAGTTGAAGCATTCACGCTTCAACGGACGTTAGGTTAAAATAATAGGTAAGCTTGGAATTTCAAACGGCGATTTCAAAAAAAAACATTGCGAAACATTGGTATTTAGTGAACATGCCAAAATAAAGTCTTCTTAAACGCCGATTAAATAATGCATAGATAGATAGATAGATAGATAGATAGATAGATAGATTATACCAGATTTTTCGATACTTCCTTCGCCTGTATAAAACTTCTCAATTAAACTTTTAGTTAATCAATTAATTTCTCAAAAGTCTGCCGCTACTACGGGATTAACCACTTGGATCGGACAATACAACACAACTTCACGGAAACCACAAACCTAAAAAAAATCAATTCACAAATTTTGTGATGCGTTTTGAATGTCGCCCACTATAAAAACTTGTAAATCGTCAAACAGTGTTGAAAAATGAAGAAAAAAAGTACCAAACAAGATAATCCAATATGCAGTTATATTTCGAACTTCACTTTCAATTTGACAAGCACTAATTTTTCTTTCAATTTATTGACATGAAAATTAAACCTTCATGAGCAACTGCTCCAAATGCATATCTTTTCGATGGCAGCTCGTCAATCAGTCTCCACTGCGCACCCGGAGTTCGGGTTTCAAAACATTCGATTGAGGTTCCCAATTCAGTGCCAACCCAGCCTCCAATAGCGAAAATTGTGTCATCGATCACAGCTGCGCCAAAAGATGTGCGAGGTGTTGTCATGGATTGCATCAAAAATTGCCACTTGTTTTCTACTGGGTTATACACTTCGATTGAGTCAGAAATTAACAATTCGCTTTCACCTCCTGAACAGAACATTAAAATCATATATACAGGTTAAGAAAAAAGTCAAATAATACATGGTAATTGAGTTTACATAGATACATACCTAAGACATACACAAGGTTACGGCATCTAACAGCGCAATGATTACTTCTGGGCTGATTGAGAGGCGCCATTACCTCCCAATCTCCGCCGTACGTATCGTACATTTCAACACAACCGAAACTTTCATCATCATCAGAGCCAAGGCTGCCTAGAAAGTCATCTGGTCTTCGAGATGCAGAAAAACCACCAATGACAAGAATTCGCTTTCTAGAACTCTTTCGTGGAACGTGTTGTCGATGATGCCAATGGTCATAGTCGCACAATTTAAGAAAATTCTTGCATAAATCTGACGAACTATCAGCTGTCAATCCTTTAAAGTCTGATTTTGAGTAATCTCGATTAGTCTCTACGACCGAAGTTAAGACCGCTTTAAACTCATCGTCGTTTATTTTTGATAGTTCATCGGACAATACAAACTCGGATATCATGGGAAGTCTTACATTGGCGATTAAATCGGGTAGATATTGAATCCGACTTTGATGGTTTCTGGAGACCCACTTTATGACAATTGCCAGAAGCTGATGCTCGCCGTCAATTTGAATGTCTTCACTGCATAGTAAACTCATTAGGAAGGGATATCCTATTTCGTATAAATTTTCATTTAGAGAGACCTCGATTAAATTGAAATTGATAAACTTTTCAAGTTCGAAGAACAAATTATTGAAATTAAATTTCTCGGCTAGACTCCACAACGTTATGCAATTGCTACAATTAATATTCCGCGACAAATATTTAAGGCATCTCTTAACTGCATAGTTCAAGTTGAGCATGTCACATGCAACAAGCACATTAGCAGCATTAGATTCCGTCAGTTTCAACTCTCCCGTATACATAAAATCGAGAAGAACTAAAAATGTCTCAGGGTCGAATCCTTGAAGAACTATTTCTTTTGAATTTTGCTCAGCTAGGCCACTAAGAAACATCGCATTGAAATACTCAGTAGCAGCAGAGAGCACAACTTTATGTGCACTGAAATTGAACCCATTGATACTTATGTTTACGTCGCAAAAGCTCTCATCGGCTCGAAGCTGAGCGAGATTTGTCCAAAACTGGTTTCTGTGTAAGTCATCGGCGGACGAACAACTGCAACATGTATTAGCTGCCATTGCCTACGACATATCAACTGCACACTGAAAAAATCATCAAGTTGAAACTCAGGTGTTCATATTTACAAAAAGTGTAAATTACAAAAAGGGCCGTTCCGCTTAGTTACGGTCAGTGTACAAGCTGGATAGGGCCATACCAGCGTAATAAAAATGCAAATACATCAGCAAACTGTAGCATTGTATCAATGAAGTCATATATCAGCATTAAACGCATCGTCGTAATGTTAATTTATCTTAGCCGTCCTTCCTCTACAATAGCGCTAATGGAGTTTTCGATAAACTGAACTTGGCGCAGCGATTTCAATCCCTTTATACAGAGTATAGAAAAAAATTTTGATAAAAAGTTAATTTCAAACGTTTCCGCAACTATGTGCGTCGGCAGGATTTTTACAATAAACTAATCAAAATGACGATAAAACATCAATTTACAAATGTTATTTATAATAATTCACATAAATTTTGGTTCTATACTATCATGTTAAAAAATTAGACAATCACAGTTGACTTCTATTTAGATGAAAATACTTTTAAGCTCTAAATTTTTTTTGGGAAAAGGTTTTGAATTAAGCATCGGTATAGAGAAATACTGAAAGTGTATAATTTATGCTGGAATGATATTCGATGAGGAATGTTTATTGATTGTGGCACAAAATGTTTATGTCGGTGTCTTGGGTACTACAGGACGTGTATTGCTGTTACTTCCGGTCAGGGATTTCAATACAATATCAATATATTGAGCTCAATATCAATATCTTCCATTCAATATCAATATCAATATCAAATAGGATGAAATTTCAATATCAATATCAATATCAATATCTAAAAGCTCAATATCTCAATATTATCATTATTTTAAGATACCAGAGACCAAATTCAATATTGAATTTCGAAATATATAATTAAATTTGTTTAGTTTTTTTTGCAATGTAATTGTTTTTTGTTTAACTTGTTTAATTTTAATGCTTGAGTGAGTTGAGTTGACTGTTTGACTTAGTCAGTCCATTGAGTTATCTTGAATTTCTTTTGGTTTTTTTTACAGAAATGATACAAAATCCGTTTTTCTCAATATCTACAAAAAGTTCAATATCAATATCAATATCTAGCCTTCAATATCTCAAAATTAAAAATTCAATATTGACATCGTCTCACTATTCAATATCTGATCATTCAATATATTGCAATCCCTGCTTCCGGTGTCCTCTCAAGGCTATCAAGGCAGTTTTCAGGATGGTGAAAGAGAGCTTCTTCCGGATATAGTTCATAGTGTCCGCATACGTACAGTTCAGCTTCTCACTCATTTTTTCCGCCAATATAGCATGATATCGCTCTGCCTCCTCACCCATGACGCCGTTGGTCGCAAAAATCAAGGGGGTAAAAGAGGCATGCTCTACCTGTAGAACGCGGTCGTTGTAGTCGACTTTTTCCGATTCTCATGAGTCTTTAGGAGTGGCTTCAGGTTTCGGTTCCTATTACTTGGAGCGTTCGGGTGTGTGAAACGGACGTCAAGAAACATTTTCTGCAGCGGCGCCCAAAAACCTCGACAAGAAATATCCAGTCTTGCATTGTCTTCCAGATTGCTTCCACTTGCAAGTTCTTCATTTCCCGTCAATTGGATCAGACCGGGCTCAACGCTCACATCCTTGCACACGTTACGTAAAAAGTCGGCTTCGACGTCGCGGTCAGCGTTGTGACGCATTATGACGAAACCACCCAACTTACAAATCAAGGCATGGTCGATATCATTTGCCGCGCCACACTCACAAGTTTGAGCTATTCCTTTCAGGTGCCATCCATATCGGAGACATAGCGCATCCCGGAAATCGCCTCTGTTCATGTAAAATTTCTGCTCCCTAGATGGCAGACAAGTCAGCCATGCGGATGTTCCTTTTGGCTGTAGCAGGTCTAGCGTGCGCTTCATTTCATTCTCACTTCGGGAATACACAATTTCGAGGGCTTCTTTTACATGTTTACGATTCGATCCTGAAATTTCTGCTCGTCCAGTTCTATTCGTGTAGTCAAAAAGATCTTGTTTAGCAATAATTGCGTTTTTCAGTTTGTTTGTCAGCTTGACAGAGTTTTCATAGAAACGAGACGCACATTCTGTTGGATTTATCAGACCTAAACCACCAGCTGAGCATGGCAATGCTATGATGTCCCGTCCTAGGTCACTGAGAGTTCTGTCGACTAAAAGAGAAATAACGTTCCTGAGTTTGGCTTCAAGTGGCTGCATGTGCAGTTCAGAACCAGGAATAGTCCTCATTATAAAATTCCACAGACTCTGGATCACCTTGACGAGAGCAATATAGGCAAGGTGGGGCTCCGTTTTGGCCGCTGCTTCCAGCGAAGACAACTCATTACACCATTCTTCAACTTTGTCTCGTAGATAGTCGTTTGTGATGTTCTGGCTGCCAATTGCCGCTCCCAAGTATGGACGTCCTTCGCTTGTGATGTTGATATTCGTGTTCTCAAAGACCTGCTTGGCTTGCTCTCGGAGACCCTCGCTTTTTTTTTACTAACCAACATTTCGACCGTTTCTGAAAATACCCAAGCTTGGGGCCGATACTGGTCAAAAGATCAAACCACTCACGGAGTTGAACCAGCTTCCCAAGGCCTCCGGCGTCGTCAGCGAACCACTCTTGATGACACCCAATTTTGTTTAGACTGACAAGGAGTTTTTTCAAGCTCAGCGCATAAAATGCCATCGCTAAATTATCTCCTTGAGTGGTGCCTTCCTGTGATAAAATTTCTACTCCTTCGCCTAGAATGAGTCTGGCTGGCAACCGATAAGTATTGATAAGATAAGTGCTGATTTTTGGGCATATATGCTTTATGTTAAGAAGGGCCGTATGACGATTCAGTCTGTTAAAAGCATTCTCAGCATCAATCAATAGAACGGCTTCTGTGGACTCCATCTGGAACATTTCCCTGGCTGCATGAATTGCTGCTTCAACGCCACCTTCTTGACCTGCGCAGGTTTGCTGTGATTCTGCTGCATGGCAAATATCGGCATCAAAAATTTGAGCTATTGCTTTCCCGAGAATTCTTCTGATTATCTCTCCAATGCCTATTGGCCTTATGCCGCCTTTACCATCATTTTTATTCAGTTCAATTTCTCTGCATGCTATATATGATTCTAGTGACTTTGGGTCAACAAATTCGGTGCATATTCTCCTTCCTAGAGCGGCTAAGGACTCACAAAGACTTTCTGAGGCTCTATTGTGCTTCTTGGAACAGAAGAGTTTCTTCATATTGTTCGCAGCTAAACCTGATGGACCTGAGGATCCTTGAGTACGAAGAGCCGCTGAGTAGATCCTCTTTGCACCTAGATTCTTAAAGATCACGGGATGGACTTCGGGAGGAATACCTTGTAGCAATTCTTCCCGGTTTACATCTTGACCAATCGGATGTAACAAGGCCATCTTTGCTCTCACGTTCTCTGTGGGAGGTAGCACTCCAGTAGCATCCGTTTGTGATAAGACTTTCACGGCAGCGCTCAGTATCCCTTGGAGAACCAAATTGCAGAAACTTTTCATTTTGTTGTCACTCTTTCTAAAGGTTTTTGATAACTCGCCTCGTATCGCGCGGCGCTCTTTGTACAACAAATCATTGTCACCGTCTCTCCACCATGCTAACAGTTTCTCTAGATATCCCAAATGATCTTTCGCTTTAGATTCTTGGGAAAGCTTCTGCACGACGAAAGCTATCAGCAAATGGAAAGCTTTTATTGAAAAACCTTGCATTGAATTTTTTTCATTGAACATGTCAAGCAGTTTTGTGAGTTCCTCAATGAGAACTTTGTCGGCATTTCCATGTGGAATATCGAAGGCATTTCTCTTCCAGTGTATGGCAATATCGTTGACCTTGCTCGCAAAAGTACTTGTTGATATTTTACCCCATTGACCTTCAATCGCTGCACTGTTTTCTACAAATGAAGGCAGTTCCTCACATGTGTCTGCTACCAGGTTCTGAGTTGGTGGTGCAATCGTCGCGAAATGGTCATTTTGGTCAACCATGTTTGGTGGCTCGTCGAATATCTGCATCTCCGCCATCGCCTGTGAGAGGCCCGATCTTCCGCTTTCGCCGCCACTCGGATTGACGAGTAATTGACAGCGGGAGACCACAATATCTTCTCCACATCGTTCCACATCTGGCTGATTCCCTGTCGCATCATGTCCTTCACTCGTTGTTGCATCCTCTGGGTTGTCGCATCAACAGTACCATTTACTGTTAGACCATTTCTTGATTTCTTTTATAGTCATTTTCGCGCAATTTCTGTGAAACCAGTTTCCACAATCACAACATCGGATACTGTACTCGTTGCCTATCACTCTCGAGCATGATCCACACCAACAGATTTTCCGCATTGCTGGAGCAGTCTTGTTATGATATTGATCGTGTCAGTGTCCTGGTTCTGCATCCATCATATCGGAAACTATATAATAAGTTTATCAGAACAATTTTAAGCTCTAAAATTAATTAATCCTCAGGAATGCGAAGCTTATTTTATTTCCTATGTAGCTTATCAATTTTGTGTAGCTTATGTCTTTTTTACTTAGTTTTTTGGCTTATCGCTACATCGTCCCCGTGGCTGTTAAAGCAGCGCCATCGAGGCATCCAAAATCAGCGGACAGAAGCTACTCTGCTCCACAGCGTTTTTCAGCGTTTCGTGATATTCGTATGCGTCTTTATTTAGTTTTTCCTGTTTTGACAAGGGGGTTGAAAATTTTCACACCCGAGTAAGCGCGGCTACATTGCGAACCCCAGAGTCCATTTGCTTTAATGGCAAGTCATGCCTCATCTTTAGTGTAGCTGAATAGTTCACAAATCTTTCGCCTTGCAACAGCTGAAGTTTTAGCTCAATCTCGACGTCATGTCAAACATCGTTCAAACAATTGGCGAATTGTCTCTAACCCCAGAGTCCATTTGCTTTAATGGCAATACATGCCTCATCTTTAGTGTAGTTGAATAGTTCACAAAACTTTCGCCTTGCAACGGCTGAAGTTTTAGCTCAATTTCGACG